GTCCCTGAGGCTGGGGGCGGTGCAAGGCCAGGGGGAATGTTGGGGGGGTGTCGGTCCCTGAGGCTGGGGGCGGTGCAAGGCCAGGGGAGGGTGGGGGTCGGTCCCTGGGGCTGGGGGCGGTGCAATGCCAGGGGGGGGGAAAGTCGGTCCCTGGGGCTGGGGGCGGTGCAATGCCGGGGGGGGGGAGGGAGTCACTCCCTGGGGCTGGGAGCGGTGCAGTGCCGGAGGAGGGGGTGGCTCGGTCCCTGGGGCTGGAGGGGGGGCGGCTCTGTCCCTGCAATAGCTGGGGGGAGGGGGGCTGGCCCAGACCGGTCCGGGGTGGCTGAGCCGCCCGGACTACCTGCGGTCGGGTGGCACGTAGGGCGCCGATCAGCTGACGAGCGGGGCCGGCCTTGGAGCGCAGCCGGGGCGGGGAGGGCTATAAAAGGCGGTGCGTCCCGCAGTCGGGCCCCGTAACTCCCCCTTGCAGCGCCAGCGGCCCGGGCCGTGTGTACCATCAGCAGTGGCGGCAGCACTGCGGAGCCCGGGCTCGGTAAGGACTGAGCCGGGGGGGGACGCGAGCATGGGGGTCCCGGAGGGGGGTGGAGTGCCGGGCATGGGGTAGTTTCTGGGGGGCGGACTGCAGGGCATGGGGTGGTTTCTGGGGAGGGGGGGCGGACTGCAGGGGAGGGGAGGGGAGGGTCTCTAGGGGGGGGAGTGGAGTGCAGGGAATGGGGGTCCCGGGCGGGGGCAGAGACTCCCCCACACAAGACGCCTGCGGGGGAGGGGGATTACAATGAAAGTCCCTGGATCTGAGTAGGGACCGGGGAGTGGGTGCAACCCCCCGCCCTCCCCCCTCCCCCCAGCTGGTCTGGGGGGCGAAGCGCAGGGACCCCCCGAAAGCAGCGGCCGTGCAAGGGGGGGGCAAGTGGCTGTAGCCGGCAGCTGCCGTTGCAAAGGGAGAGACCTTTGTGGCGGGGAAATTGCTGCTTTTCTTGCATGGCTTTCAAGGGGGGGTGACCCCAGTAGTGGGCCCGGAGCTGAAGCTGGTTGAGGGTGTGTGTGTGTGTGTGCCCGCGAGGTGTGTGTGGCTGTTTTTTGGGGAGATCAAACCCTTATAATCTCTCCCTTAGCGATACCTAGGGCTAATCTTGTGGGGGGGGGGGTGAGGTGTGGGTGTGTGTTTTCCATTGAGGTGAGATTCTCTCCCTCTCCCCCCCCGCCCCCAAGAAGGTGGATCGATGAGCTGCAGATGACTCGTGTGTGCTGCAAAACCCCCTTCTCCTCTAGCGAGGAGGGCTGGGGGGCTCGGGGTGGTTTGTAGCCCAGAGGACCCCCTTCCCCCCGCAGCACATAAGGCGCCTGGGTGGGTGCCGTTTGCCCTGTCCCCAAATAGTGCTTGTTCAGAGTCATTCTCTTTGTTGTCACTGGTGCACGGACGCGCACAGGTTTCAGATCTTGCAGTGGTAGAAGCTTCTCCTCTCGCTTCTCATTTAGACCCAAAACCCGGGGAGTTATATTGACCTGGCTGTTGGGGAGGGGGGAAGAGTCTGATGAGGTGGGGGTGGGTGGGGGGGTTATTCGCATTGCAGCCTGTTCTGTTTGGGACTGGGGTTTGTTTTGCATGGATCAGCTGGCGGGGAGCACCCTGGGGATGTGGGGGCTTTGTTTTGGTTCAGGTTTTGTGTGCTGGGGCAGCAGTGGGAAGAGGCCCAGGGAAGTAGAAGTTATGGCTATTGCTTTGAAAATAATCTTGATTTGTATATGCAAGATTGAGGTGCTGGAGAATTAATGGCTTTATAGGGAGAGGGCAGGCCATTCATCCAGCATTAAAATGCATCTGTGCAGTCTCTTTGATTTAAAAATGTCACAGGATGTATAGGCTCCCCAGAAGCCCTCTAACAATCCCGATATCTTTTTCCTTTTCCTCTAGGGTCTCCATCCAGCCAATCAGAACTAGCTCTCCTGTTTTCCCAATTTACTTTTTGCCCCATCTTTCTTTCTTCAGATTTTTTTCCTTCCCCACTTTTTTTGGTCAAAAAATCTCAACAAAATGGTGCAGAAGAAAACAGAAATCAAAGGTTTCCATCGTTCTTTCAAGGTAAACCTTACCGAGTTCTTTCTTTTGCTTTGCATTTAAGCCTCTGTTGTTGGTTTGGGTTTGTTTGTTTGTTTGTTTATTATTATTATTTAATTGACTTGTCAATTGATTTTTGGTTTGTTTACATCAAAGTTGGAAATTATTTTCGTTCTTGTTTTGTCATGGTGTGACTGTAAATTGTGGAGGCGAATTTGCAATTTGGGTGTGGATCCTTGGAAATCAAGAGGAAATTTGTCTTATACAAAAAATGCATGCTGGGCCTCTGGGACTCTGGAGCCAAGAGTAGATGGGAACCCTTGGAGTACTAGAAACTGGCTAGGGCAATCCTATTTTTGTCTCTTATGAAGACTGATTCTTTAGGTAATAAGGTAGAATATGTGGTGCTTTTACAGCTTAAAAGAACAGCAGACACATTAATATACAAATAACCAGTGAGGTAGTGGACGTTCGTGTTCATTGTTAGCTCGAAGGCTTTTTAATCTTCGATTCTTGCAGATTTAAGGAACAAATGACCAACCTAATGTGTCTCCATATGGAGAAATAGCTGTCAAACAGAAAACAATGGGCTGATTTGCAGGAGGTGCAAAGAGTTGATCTCTGTTGGAGTTACGGGTGCTCGATAGCTCTGCCAATCAGACCTCAGTGGTTATGTCTACACAGCAATTAAACACCCGCAGCCGGCCCAGGCTTGATGGGCTGGGGCTTGTAGTGTAGATGGTTGGAGCTCTGGGACCCTGCCAAGAGGTCACTAAGCATTGGCTGATCAGGGCCGGGAATAGCCACCTAGTCCTAACAGCTCAGTAGCTTGAAATCAGTGTGTGTTGGAGTATTGCTTCACCTATCCACAGTGGGTGGACTTCCTTGTTAGTGTTGCAACTATCACATGACTTCTGCTACCCCAAAAACCACCAAAGGAAATACAAGTCCTTCTCGTTATCTGAAAATGAGGGTTAGAGATGTTTTGAAAGCACTGAAGGCATTTAGGTGCACAAGTCCCATTGAGAGTCAGTGGGTTGCCTTCTTCTAAATTCATTCAGTGATTTTGCAAATCTGCTTTAATAAACTCCTGACCATGTTAATATTAAAAATCTCCTGCTACATACTCAGGATAAAGGGGATGGGAAGAAAGAAAAAACATTATCTAGGAGGAGATTTCCTGTTGGAAGGTGCTTGGCCTCCATTGCTGTTTTGATGAGTCTGGTATAGATAACCCACATCCAGGAAGCCAGGTATTGACCTGATTGGGGGTGGATTTCACCAGATGCCTCTATTAGGTCCATGTCTGCCCTGGGTCTAACTCTCAACGCTGGATTGAGGGTTTGAAAAATGGTGGAATAAATCTTCAAACGTTAAAGACTCTTGTTCTTAAAATAAAATGACCAGAACAGCACTGTGGATTAGGATCTTCCGTCTCTGTCTGTCTCTCTCGGTGAGCTGGCGTTTTGAACTGTAAGTAGTTGTTGTCAATTGGATGGCCACGATGTAGGGCAATCAGAGCATTGGTTCTACTGGCAGAGTGGCAGGGTGCTCTCCTGGGAGCTGATGTAGGTCTTGGTGTTGTGCAAGCTTCTACCTCGGAAGAGTTAGTGGGATGGACTGAATATTGCTGTTACCCCCCGTCCTGCTGATTTCAGTGAGTTTTGCATGGGGTCGCTGCGCACAGCATCCAGTGCATTTACATGGATGAAACCTCTTTGGCACTGGTGGGACACCCAAGGGGATGTCAAAATAGCCTTGTCTGCTGCTCTTGGGATCCTGCCACCCAACTTTCTGAAATCCACGATGAACATCCCTGGGAGCCTCTGTTTACTGCAGCCTCATGGGATTGTTCCATGGCTGCGCACTGGACTGCGACAGGTCCCAGGCCTGGCAGGCAGGAGGCAGCCTGCTATGAAACAGACCCTTTCCCCAAGGCTGCACCTCCTCCTTTCCTGTAAGGCTCCCAGTTATGACTGAGCTCTCCCTGACTCCACCAACACCCAGTTATGAGCGTCAGTTTTCTTGCTGTGTCTTCAGTTCTCTCTCGGATCAGGGCCCATAAGGAGGATTCTGGTTTAGTGGGATTTTTTTTTCCCCTGTGATAAAGGTCTTGTCTTGTCTGTGCATGACTCCCTATTTCTGAAGGTCGCTCTCTATTGTGAGGTTTGTGTCTTAGATTCTCTGGCCAGAAGGGACCATCATGATCATGTAGTCTGACCTCTTGTAGAACACAGGCCAGAGAACTTTCCCCAAAATAAATAACTTACTCCAACTGTCCCCTAATCTTGGTTGAAGGTTTTTAGGCCAGCAGCGGCTTTTGTCTTGGGGCGAAATCTCTCTAAATAGCGCTGATTAGAACAGAATTAGTCCATTGCACTGAACCAGCCAGAAGGGCTGCCTTAACAGCCTAGTTCTCTTGTATGTGTCAGCATGTTGTGGATTCAGGATATGGCAGCTGGCGTAGGGAGTTGAAAGACTCCATGAATGGTCTCGTTTGTTCGACCCTCTCCTTCTTTCACATTTCAGGCCCCATCCTGCCAGATGCTGAGCGACCCTCGAGTCATGCTGTTGAGGGCGCTCAGCACTCGGGGCATTGGGTGATTTGTTGGGTGTGTGTGTCCCCCCCTCCCCGCCCCGTGCATAACTGGCTCCTGGAGCAGTGCCCATTGCAGGGTGATGTAACTTCTGTTTTGTCTCGTGGTGGGGGTGCTGTTACGTAACCGCCTCATTCCATAATAAACCTGTTGCTGGGTAAAAAATGGGAGAGGATGTGGAGTCAGTGGGTTGGTCACCAAACATCTAAGTAGAAAAAGAAAATAGTGTGGGGGAGGAAAAAAGGGGACGAAAGGGAAATGGTTAGAGTCTCTCTAGAACGGAGAAATTCCAGACACCCTGTACTTCTGGTGTTTAGCATGCCTTGCTACAGAGTCTCTCCTAATGATTAGAAAGCCGCTGGCTCTGGGTGACATTGGGTAATAAGGGGCACAGTAAAAATGGGCTCCTTTGGCGGTGTTGCGCCTGCAAAATGTTGATTCTTCCACTGACAAACCCAGGAGCTCTTCTTACAGCTAAAAAGACACACAATCTCCTGCAGAGGCTTGCCTGCAATGTGTCCCGGATTCTAGGGGTTCTGAATCGTCCCCTCTCGGGCCGCGCTGCTGAATGCAATTGGGCTGGCCTTCCACCAGGAGACAAAGTAAACACTGCTTTCTAGCTGTTTCTAGCCGTTAGGGACGCTTGTGCCAAGCCCTGCTGATTGGCTGCGGGGGCAGCTGTTCCTCTGATCCGGCCTTCCTCCTGGCTCCCCTCCTAGCAGGCATGGCAGTGGGGCGTGTGTGGTTTGTTTTTAATTCAGGGAGAATTCCGCCTCCACCCAAACACATTTCATAACCGGGGGAAGGCTTGTACTTTGGTTAATGAGCTTTCTTGGGGGGCAGGGGAGTGTCCTGGGGCTTTAGCTTAGAACACTTCCTTCTTTCTTAGTGCTTCCCATGCAGGGATCTGAGTGTTCTCTCCATGTTACAATTGGGGAAACTGAGGCACGGAGCAGTGACGTGATTTCTCTCACTATTCTTTCCTCCCCACCCCATGTGTTAGATATAGAAGGGAAAATAGGCCCCAACTGTCCTATATAGGCTGTCCCCTAATTCAAGGCAGCAGTTTCGCTGTTCTGGATCTGGGTGCATCTCCCAGATAAAGACCCAAGGCTGGTTGTCAGCACTGTACCTGTGCCTTTTCTAGTGCTCGCAGTGCATTTCACTGGTGACCTCTAACCCCCCCCCCCCCCCGAACCACTCTGCTCTGCCAGTCATGCATCAGTTTGATGATGGGGGACAAAAAATGATGCCACGCTCGTGTACAGCACTTTTCATTGGTAATCTCCAAGCACTTTTCAAAGGAGGGCAGTTTCATTATCCCTATTTTACAGACTGAGAAGTTGAGGCACAGAGAGGTGAAGTGACTTGCCCAAGGCCACCCAACAGGCAACTGGCAGAGCTGGGAATAGAACCTGGCTCCTAAGTCCCAGCCCAGCAGGCCATGCTGCCTGTCCCCACCTCCTGGTTGCATCTGGACCAATTTTGGTTGCTTTGAGACCTAAAATGAGAGTGGCTTCCAGGTCTCTGAAAGCACAATCCTAGCACAGTGACCCAGGGCCCTGTCCCCTTTCTGCTCCGGTCCATGACTTGCCGGCTCAAGCATTCAACTAGTCTGGCCAGTTTGTCCCCATTCTGCCGCTCCGGGGTTCAGTGGCTGGACTGATGTCTCAGGGTGTTCTGCACAGGAATTAAACCCCCACCGCTGGCTTGTGTCAGCTTACTCAGTCTGCGGGGCTGTAAAATAGCATGTAGGCGTCCGTGCCGGCTCCGGGACCCTTCCCCCTCGCAGGTGTTTTTGCCATGTAGACATCCCCTTAGTCCCACCCAGAGCTCATCACTGCAAGTTGCATTAAGAGCAGTAGCAAAGCGTTCTCAGGCACGTGTATGCCTCTCCAGCACCCAATCCCGTGCTTCGTGCAAACCTCCCTCCGCTCTGAGTGACCCCAATTCAGCTGCCACCTGGCACCATCCCGTGCCCTGCAAACTCATGCTTATCCCTTCCCCCACCCTGTGCTAGAGACTGGGGGGAACCGTCCTGGGGGGAGTGCTTGGTGACGTCCCTGGCTGGGATGGGGCTGCTGCGACTCCGGCTTCCCTGAGCCAGTCAGGTGAATAATGGGTCCCTCACTCTGAGGCGGTGTGAGTCATGAATGAGCAGGCCCCAGGGGAAGGTGCTGAGGGAGAAGGAACCGCCCAGCCTGTAGCTGGTCCTGGCAGTGGGATGGTTTAGGTTGACACCCAATCAGGCCATGTTGCTTCACCTGACGCTCCCTTAGAAATGTGTATTCCTGCTTCTCTGGCATAGTTGCAGTGCCAGCCCCTGCTCACCTAGGAGCTGATGGCAGGTCAGGGTCATGTGGCATACCAGTCATGCTCTATTTTTGCACCTTCTTACTAGCATGGAGGCTGTTGCTACGTAAAACAGCCACTCGCTCCGGGGTTTGTGAAATGCTGGGCGGGTGGGGTGAGGGGCTGGGTGGGCCCGGCGATTGGGAGGCAGGCCTCCTGGGCCTTGGTCCTAGCTCTGCTGCTCACTTGCTGTCTGACCCTGGGGTGAGTGGGCAACGGAATCTGTGTCTCAGTTTACCCCTCTGTAAAGTGGGTAGAAAACGTGGGGGGGGGGGGGGGGGGG